TTGTCTACAACGCTTTGCCAGTTCACACAACTTACAATGAAGACTTGATAAAGACACTCCCTTAAACATATCTGGAAATAAATGACTCAAAGCAGAATAAGACAAATGACCAAACCGAAAGTGACATAACATGACTTTGTCAACAGACTCTAACAAGACTGATTTCAAGGCAACTCCATGAGGTGGTCCAAGAGCACAATCAGGTGTGTCCAGCAAGTATATTCCGTTCGCCCCATGGCCACTCCCAATCATCCTCTGAGACTGTAGGTCCTGAAAAACACAATGAGTGGGAAAGAAGGTTATGCTACAATTCATGGATTTAGTCAAGCTACTAACAGATAAAAGATTTGTATTAAATTTAGGGACATGAAGGACAAAGGATAAATAAAGGGTGTCAAAGGATTTTATATCCCCTTTGCCAAAAATGGGAGCAAGGGACCCATCAGCAAAGGATATTTTCTCTTTACCAGAGAGAATGTGGTATGAATAGAAAAGGTTAGACAAGCTGGTCATATGGTCTGATGCACCAGAATCAATGATCCAAGGTATTTTATGATTACCCGAAACTAAAGCATGGTTTGCAGAAGCACGAATACCTGAGTGAGCAAATGCTGATGATGATGATGTGTTGCCTGAAGAGTGAGATGTAGAAATAGCCTCCAAGTGACTTAACAGTACCATACTTTTCAAAATATGCCTTCATTGTTGTCAACTATTCAATGATGGACTTCTCTTCACTCTCCTTCCTCCTTCCGGTACCGTGGCAACATTAGTTGTCTTTGGCTTTCCTGTCTGACTACCCTTCTTAAAATTCTTGTTATTCTTAAATCGGTTAGGAAGAAGATCAGGATGAAGCTTCCAGTAAGTGTCCTTCGTATGTCTCGGTTTCTTACAATATTCACATACCTGCTCCTTCTTCTCAGTTGGACCCTTCGGCTTTATTCCTGCGTGTGCAAAGTGTTCCGTAGGTGGACTCTATAACTGAACTTGCCGCCTACTCTCACCATAGCATATGCCTGGGCAAGAGTAACATCATCTTTGGCTAGAATATTCTGCCTAATGATGTCAAACTCAGGGTTGAGTCCAGTAAGAAATTCAAGCACCCTGTTTTTTTCCACCAACTTCCTAAACATTTTTGAATCATTCTTAGTCTCCCATGCAACTGTCTCCATAACATCAATTTCCTACCATAAGGATTTCATTATAGAATAGTAGATTCCCACACTCCTCTCCCCCTGTCTTAGGTTCTTCACATCACTTTTCAGCTTGTAGACTCTAGCCACATTCAACTTCTGTGAATAAGTTTCAATAACACTATCCCAAATCTCCTTGGCAGAGGACATCCAAAGATAGTGCTGACTTATATGAGGCTGCATAGAATTGACTAACCATCCTATAACAATATAGTTTTCCTGCATCCATTTCTCATATTCAGGGTCTGTCTCTTCAGGTTTCACTTTACTGCCTGTGAGGTACCCTAATTTTCATCTACTACAGACATAAATCCTTATAGACTGTGCCCAAGCAAGATAATTTGTCCCATCTAGCTTGATTGTGGTCATACCAATCAAAACGGAATCTACCGAGCCAAGCCCAGAAACCGGCACCTGCTTGAACTCACTTCTGTATTGCTCCATTAATCAAATGAAAATCAAAAAACCAGAAATTTGGTCCTTATAAACTTACTTGAAGTCAAACTAGTACCCAGATGCTTGAAAACTAGGGTTTCACTGTGTTCGACTATTGGGGAGAAAGAGAAGATGCAACCGCTCCTACCAGAGCTTTCCAATCTCTTCCAAACCTTAACCGCCCTCTTTTAGAAGTCAAAAGACACCTCCCAAGCATAGAGCACCACACCCAAAGCTTCATTTTTACTTGTAACTTTGAAAATCTCAAATTGGCTAGGGTTTTGGGTAGAAACAGTACAGCACCACTTCTTGGCAATATCCAACCAGATTTACACTCTCCAAACCCTCTACCAACTAGGCCAAAGATCCTCTGAACTATAGAGAACCTATCTCTCCATACACTCTCTTAATCGAAGGGTGTATGGGAAAAGAGAAAGAATAAAAGAAGGAAGAAAGAAACCTGCTCTGATACCAAGATGTAAATCAGTCCTCTAAAATCTGATGTAAACTTGGGAAAAATAGAGGGAAAGGAGGAAGGAAAGAATAGAACAGCAGTGCAAGAGAAGGAAGATGGAGAAAAGAGGAGGAAGAAGAAGAAGAGTTCAAATATCTCTTCCCTCCCTTCTCTAATCCTTTTACTAAACTTCAATCTGAACATAATTACAAGTATACCCTTAAGTGGGCGGCCAGCTAGGCAGTAACATAAAAAGAACTAGCAAAAGAAATAACAGGCCCATTAGTTAACAAATAAATAAAACATATTATAAGAAAAGATACTAGGGCCCATTCAGCCCAGTCTCTTTACAAACACCATGCATGAATGAGCCCTTCTCCACTTCTATAAATAGCAGCTCTTTTGATGGAGAAGAGACTCATTCATTCCTTCATTCCCTTCACCATTAGCTTTCATCCTTCCCCTTGTTTTTTTTTTGATAATTTCATCCTTCCCCTTGTTGAAGCCTTCCTCTGACCAAACCCTAATCCTTATTTCCTTCTCCATCTCAACTTTAGAGCCTAGACCATCATCACCACTGCCTTGCAGGATGAAGTGTCCATGTTAGACCCTGAAGCTCCATCCACACTTTAAGGACACTTTTATGCAGCATTTTTCTTTTTCTCCTTGCTTAACCAACATAAATGAACAGCTAATAAACACAATGAATGTTTTCCTATAAAATGATATTAAGTAACAAGAATAATCTATTTTTTTATAAATGTAACAAGAATAATCTATTAGGTCTTTTTGTAAAGGCTAATAATGTAAATTTCAGCACTATTTTAATAGTTTATGCTTTCCTATAAACATGTATGTGAGTCCTTGTTTCTTCATATTGCCAAGTTGGACTCTTGGACATGCATCGGATACTGATTCTTGTGTCCATGTCAATCCAACACTGGTAGTGGTTTGTTGTTGTTTCATATTGGGAGGACATAGAGAGCTTAGGGAAGGGGGTTCTGTTTTTTTAAGAGCTATGGCAGTGTTCCAACAAGCCCAAATCATTTATCAATCAGTTCAGCATTATAATCAGAATGAATAAACATCTACGAAATCTGTAGTCATCGACCAAGTAACTGTATGAGAAATCAAAAGAGCATGTTTAGCCACAGCATGGGCTGCTTTGTTACCTGATCTAGGAACCCAGTGAACTGAGCCGTAAGAAAATCTTGCCAGAAGTTGGACTCCTGGACATGCATCGGATACTGATTCTTGTGTCCATGTCCATGCAACACTGGTGGTGGTTTATTGCTGTTTCATATTGGGAAGAACATAGAGAGCTTAGGGAAGGGGGTTCTGGTTTTTTTTTTTTTTTGAAGGGCTGTGGCAGTGTGCCAACAAGCCCAAATCATTCAGCAATCAGCTAACATTATAATCAAATGAATAATTACATCTACGAAAGCTAGAGTCATCGACCAAGTAACTGTATGAGAAATCAAAAGAGCATGTTTAACCACAGAATGGACTGCTTTGTTACCCGAACTAGGAACCCAACAAACTGAGCTGTAAGGGAATCCTGCCAGAAGTAGTTGCAATCTGCAATCAAGTTTTTGATGCGCCGAGGAAGAAAAGCGTCATCCAACAGACTATTAAGAGAAGGGGGTTCTGTTAGGTGTGTGTGGATCTTATTTTCTCAGTGATATCTGGGTATCTAATGGTGTAATTCACACTTTCTCTATTTTAAAAGTTTTTTTATTTACTAGAGGGAGGAAAAAAACTACCTCTGCCACATGTCTCTTACTACTACCCAACTATCTCATGTGCGGTACTGCGTGTAAAAAACCTGTTGCCAAACATTAATCCAACAGTAATAAAGATGATACCCCTTTTGCACAAACTTTCGTAACCTTCTTAGGCAAGGAAAGGGAAAGGTAAACACCTAATTATATGCTTTTTATGGTAAACAAAAAGGCAAGTTCATTGAAAAAGGAAATACAAATAGAGGTGATGATGCATCACCCAACCCACATACAAATTCCCCCACTCCAAAACCTTATGAACAGGCCATCACTATACCAGAAAGACATCTGTAAAGCCTCCCTTACCAACTTCATTTAAAAAATACAATGAAATTTTCACTCTGTAGATGAAAGCACTTAAAATCAGTGAATCACCAACCTCACACCCCTAACCTCCAAACAAATTTATCCTGTCCACACCTAAACACCACTTGTTGAACTCTGTAGAGACCAAAATTGGAAATATCTTTTCATGAGTTCCTCCTTAAACAAACAATTGCATAGACTTGCTAGCATTCCTCAAAAGATAATGATTTTTTTTTTTAGGAAGTATTATGAGAAAACACTTTATACTTGTTTTTAGTTAAGCATTCCTTTTCCCTTTCTTTATGGAACTTCAACTATTATAAAAATAAATTATTAGCAGAGAAGAAATAGAAGAACCAAGGAGGAAGAAGAGAGAAGATAGAGAGGAGAGAGGGGAGAAGAAAAGAGAAAGAGTTTGGGAGAAGAATCAGTTCTGGCGGCGCCAGAATATGTTATTATATATAGGGCGACACTTAAAAATAAGGGAAAAGACCCTTATGCCCTTGTAACACTTACAGCTTATAAACAGAATAAAAAGACTAAGTTTTCTAACAGAACAAAGCAGAAATAAACCAGACAGAATAAAGAAACTAAATTGACTAAATTATTCCAACATAGACCAAGAATGCTTAAGGATTAATATAATTCGCCTTCAACATTAGTACCAAAAATAAGGAATATTATGATGGGGAAAAAACCTTTGATTAATGCTTGAGAAAAAAAAATGCAATTGACAACAAAAATGATAGATATGATTAAATAACATTTACAACCACCATTAAAAGACAATGAAATGAAAAAAAATAAACCAACAAAAGGAATTGTGTTTACCATTTCAGAATAACCTAAGTCATATAGATCCTCATCATGCACCCAGTCATCCATGCTAAATTCGGGAAATGAACGAGAACCATTTGCATAAAGCCATTGACCTTTCTCAATTTTTCTGCAATTAGGGCACTGCATAACTCCCTTTGCATTGAATGCAGAACCAATGCAATCTGAATCAAATCATGACATGGATAAGTGAGAAACATGATATCATGGAAGATATTCATTCTCCAAAAGAATATGAAGTAACAACTTTAAATTTGGTGACTACCACTATTAATTGTTTGTGTACTACATGCAGAACACCATTTAAATCATCACCAAATTTGGCTGGATCACATTGGTTGATCTTGATGCATCATCTGGATGGTCCAGATCAATAGTTACATCTATGAACAATACTTGAATCACTTCTCCAATCCAAATCAATAATTAGATTTAGAATACCAGTTTAATGGCCCAGATCAATTGGACATCCTAGATTAATTGTGTGGTGAATCTTTCCCATCAGACAGAAGATGGAAGACCCTTCACCCTTCCTTGGTGGCCATAACCTCACATCATTACTATTTTGCTTTTACAGTCTACTTTTTTTCGAGAAAAGGTAACTTGCATTCACATTTCAAAAAAGGGAAGAATGTACATGACAAGATATACAAGAAAGGGCCATGTAAACAAAAAGCTAAAAGCTCAAAAAATTAAAATGGCATTATATTTGCACTATGCAAAATATCCTTTTTTTATCAGCAACACAAAATTGCACTATGCAAAATATCCCTTCCCGAACCAGATTTAGCTAAACTATCTGGCTAACTGATTCAGCTCTCTTGGAATCCATCTGAAGCTGCAATTCGAAGCGGAGGAGATATCGTGGATTTTAAGAAGGTGAGATAGCTTCCAAGGGGTGGAGTCCCTATACTTGGCCCATTTTATAGCATTGAGTCTCCTTTAATCACCAAGTCACTGAACTGCTGCTGATTATCAATGTGGGGCCCCTCTAAAAGGGCACAGGTGTCAGCAGTAGCTGTATCTGAGGCACTTGTAGGACCACTGAATGCTCAAACCAGGCCCCCATCACCTTTACTAATGATGCCCCCATACCTACAGCAGCAAGATCATCTTGGTTTCTTCTCTCTGGCCTCTGGAGGAAGGGGGAGCCAGTGACAGGCCTGTCAGAGAAGACTGAATCACTTTTTTTTTTTTGAGAAAGACTGCATCACTTCTAACCAGCATCTTTGCAAATCCCCCATGCTCACACCAGTAAAATATCTGTTGCTAACATCCAAGAGTGAATGGAGTTCAGGATTCGTTTTTTTAGCTTTCTAGTGAAGATTCTTTGCACGCAAAGATCCTTCTGTTGCATCAGTCTTTAAAAGCGCAAGGCGCAAAAAAGGCGCAGGGGCCAATTTGCGCCTGAGGCGCAAGGCGAGGCATGTGCCTTTTTGAAGCAAGGCGCGCGCCTTTCTGAAGCAAGGCGCAAAAATACAAAAAAAAATGCTAAAAATTAAAAAAATATATATTAAAGATAATATTAATAAAAAATATAAACTTAAATTTTAAAATAAATGTTTTAAAAAACCTATTATCTAAAATTAAAATACATAAACATAAGATGTAAAGCATATTCAAATGAGAATTTAAAAATAAAATCAAGCATATAAAACATTTTCAAGCATGCAAAACCTCTAATCTCTCTTTTCACTCAATTGCATTACTTCAAGTAGCTAATGTAATGTAAAGCATATTACATTCCTGATTCTACGAGCTGCCTTTGTGCCACGCCTCTCGAGGCAAGCCCAAACAAGTCCACGTTAGGTCTTAAATTCTTAGTTTTCACACAAAAAAATAATGATTTTATAGTTTTAATTGCTTTTTAAGAAAACATTTTATTAGGATGAATGAATGAGCAACATTACCAAATTGAGGGTTCTCGGAATTTAAGAAGACATTTTTTGTGCAAAAACTAAGAATTTAAGACCTAACCTGAACTTGTTTGGGCTTGCCTCGAGGGGCGTGGCACGAGGGTCCGGGGGCGGAGCCCCCGGCCAGCCGCTACGTTCAAAAAAAGCAAAAAAAGCATCAAATTTTCAAAAAGGCGCACACCTAGGCTGAGGATCAGCCCAGGCGTGCGCCTTTTAAATCACTGTGTTGCATTCCTCCCAGTAAACATTTTCATTATTCAAAAGCCATGATTAATGATAGTGTGCTCCTTTTATAGGGAATATGTTGTCCAATTCACCACTCAAATTGGGAAAAAAAAATTCCAAAGCCATCCTATCTTAGCTAATTTTTTTGAACTCTAAATCATAAGCATTCTTAATTAAGAAACATATTTGAAATTAATTGGTATTGAATATTGAATGGTTGAGCCATTATTTCATGGGTTATAATATCGACAGTGTATGTTGTTTTCTTTAGTTAGCTACAATAGTATGTGTTCTTTTGGATCAATTATACCATCTATGTTGTATAGTATTCTTGTCTTTTATTGTAAGGTTCTACAGTAACCTGAGAGATCAAAACAAAGGTATTGACGAAATTAATAATGTGGGATTGGCAGTTCTACAAAGCCATTGCATATAGTATGATTAATTGACTGGTTGGCTAGTTGAGAATATCATAAGAGTAGTCTTGCTTTCTGGAAAAAAAAAAAAAGTGAATCTATTGTGCTAAGTACTTAACATACGAATATAGTATGAAAAACAAAAAAAAAAGAGGATGAGGGTCAGGCTATTTGACCTTATTGAGGAGATTATGCCACCATTCTCATTTTTATTATATGACCACAGAATTTATGATAAACATTATTTCTTTCCACTACATAGATAAATAGAAAGGTAAATTTCAATTGAAACACTTCTTATATTGTCATTTTTTATGTGAGATGATTAACATCTCTCCTACAAAAAACATTAAGTCCTTCATTATCGTAATTTCTTTTCTTTCCCAAGTTTTTATCCATAACAAAGCAAAAGAATACATTGACATGGCAAGCCACCCTAAGGATTTAAGGCCAGCTTGATTAGAAATCTTTACAAAATCATAGTAAAAGTTCTATCCAGTTGAAAGAAGCCTTTCCACAATTATTTTCAAATTCTCAAGGGATATTCATCCAAGGGAGATAAAATAAATCACCAATCAAATCCTACTTGCAAATAAATGTGTCAAGAGACAAGAAAATTAGAATAGAAAGGGTGGGTATATATGAATTGGATTTAGAAAAAGGCCTATGACTATGTGGATTGGTCTTTCATGTGTGAGGTCTTGAACAAGTGTGGATTTGGAGTGAATTGGAGATAATGGATCATGGGTTATATTCAATCATTCCAATATTCAGTCCTAGTAAATAAGGTGGTAAAGGACTTCTTCCCAGTTAAGAGGGGCTGGGGCAAGGAGACCTCTGCTTTCTTATTCACTCCTGTAGTAGACATATCAATGTTGCATGGACTCTCCTAAATGGATGAAGTGTCCATCTCAGGCACACATTAGACACCAACACTCCATGGATTCTTGAGGGACACTTCTACATGATATTTTTCTATCACTCATTTTAATGGAAATGGACAGTTGATGTACACAGTGAATGCCACTTTTCCTATAAACACTTTTAAGTAACAAAAAGTAAGCTTTTAAAAACATTTTTTATAGGATTATAATGTTAAAAGTTTCTCTTAAAAAAAATTATAATGTTAAAGTTCAACAAAATGTGGATTATTTGAATAGTTTACACTTGTCCATAGGCATGACCATGAACCCTTGTTATTTTTGTCTTGCTGAGCCAGACTCCTGAACACGCGTTGGATTCTGAATCTCATGTCTATGTCCATACAACATTAAAATATATTCAATAGATTAATCTCAAGGGCTGATGATCTTAACCTAGCAAGAGGATGGAGGGTAAGAAGGAAGGAGACAATGAGGGAGAGATAATAGGATGGTTTATGGCCTTGGGGTGTGATGCCTCTCTGGCCTCTTTTCTTATTCGGTAAATGGGGGTGGGTAAGTTGGTCAACACGAGAGTTAACCAATTTATTGGCGTTCATTTTTTGGCATTAGTGGGTCCCACAAAAAAAAGAACGATTCCCAAGTGTGGCAATTACCTGTGTATGTATTACCCTCTGCCTACTTGGGTAAATAACTTTCCCGTCAGAAGGGAAAATTGCTACACATGATGGGACAACATTTTCCCTTTAATAATGACACTTTTATGGATAAAATGGTCGTTGTTTAACTTTACTGGGAAACAGAGATCACTAGTAAGCACACTTACCAGAGTAAATGTTTCCCAGGATGCATTTACCCAAGTAAGTGAATTTACCCAGCTAAATAGCTCCCCAGGAAAAAAAATGAAGGATAAATAAAAATTTCATTTAACTAATAAAATGAAGTACATCTCAATGCCAACGGTTATCAAGTTGACAAACTAAACACACGCTAGAGATCAAACTGAAAAAGAATCAATATACAAGGATGCAAATCAAGAGTACTCCAAAAATTCTCCAACAGATCAGCTTTGGTTACTTGATCAAAATCTGGGAACTGAGAGCCCAGACTGAAATCAGGTTGCCCACTGCTGCTATCAGGCATTCAATACTTTTAGACTTGTCCTCAAAAACCCTTCTGTTTCTCTCTTTCCATATAGACCAACATACTGCAAAGGGAGCACAGCTCCAAAGAATTCTAGCTTTCTTGCTTCCTCTGAGTTTTGGCCATTTGGTGAAGATCTCTGCAACTTTAGGAGACTTATAAAATGAACAAGGCCCCTGGCCCCAGTGACTTATAAAATATCCAACCCTCCCTTTAAGAAGAAACCCTAGATCTTGAAACTTTTGGAGTTCAATGGAAGATAGGTTTTCCAGAAAGCTAGTGTCTTAGAAGAACTATATATCATTATAGGGTAGAAATAATCATTCTAATAAATTGTAGACAAAACCACTCTTTTATTACCTATCAGCATTCAAAATTCCAAATTCTAGTTGCAAAGAGTCTAAATAAGATCATGAGGGATTTTTTGTGGGAACCAACTCAGCCAAGAGAAACCAAAAGAGATCAATTAATAAACCAGGCAACAACGTGTAAGAATAAGAGAGAGGGTGATTTGGGGAGATTAGTAGAGGAGAACAATGCTTTGTTGGGCAAGTGGTTACAGAGGTTCTCTTTAGATTCTTACAAGCTGTGGCATAATGTAATTGTGAGCATCCATGGGATGTAGGATGTAGGGGTGGTCTCTGAAGCCTGGAGCTACATTAGCCTCTTTGTGAAAGGCCATTTCAGTATTGCTTGTTTACAGCACATCTGGTATGATGTAATTGTAAAACAAAACAAAGCTTTGGGAAGATTTCTAGTGGTGAGAAAGAACACTAAGTGAGAGTTTCCCTGCCAATAAATATTTAACAGTAAATAATAAAAAAGAATGCATTAATTTAGGCAAAAAAAGAGGAAAGGTGCATCATTTTTTCTAAAGCAATTGTTGCCTTCCTTCCCCATGAATAATGAAACAAACCACAACCCCTAAGCAAGAAAACAAGCTGCAATATAGAAGTCTACTCACATCCTTCCTTGTCTAACCTATCAGTAACCAAAGACAAAGATCACATATTCACATCTCTCTGATGTAATGGCTTCTTAGGCATCCAAATAATCACGATGTATAAGTCACTCTTCAGCAAAGTCCCCACAAATCCCATTCAGAAGGATACTCGAGCCCTGAAAAAGGTCAATGCCTCGGTGCCAACAGAATCAACATAATCAATAAATTAATTCCTTTTAAACTTCCACGTTTTAATTCTTTCACTTAAAATTTCAAAAAAAATAAATCCCGTCACCATGATATGCCGGTTAAGAAGACTCAAGTCTCACCACCCAGGGCCTACACTTCATATGTCTAGAAATCCTACTGCCTTTCCTTTCAAAACAAGGATCCAGAAAACACTACCCCACCCCCAAAATAGAAAGATAGGGGCATATGACATTTGTGCTTAAAAGGAGCACAAGTAAAGCGGGATTTCCGGCCCACAACTGAACAAGGATGAAGTATCAAATCACAGAAACTCCTGGCAATTATTGGTGTTAAAATGCATTGGCATGATAAAAGAAAGACAGGTTTGTATGGCTTTTGGGGATTAATGACAAGATCTTTCTCTCCAATCAGATTGCTACAATTCAAGCCGTTTCCAATTTGGCTCAGCACCAGCTCTAGCTAATACTGCCATGAGAATTTACTCTGACATCCATATTCACTTTGATGCCCTAACATTAATGATGATATATAGAGTAAAAGTGTAAGCATAGAACATGACACCAGTGTCATTTTGATTGCTAGTAATTCTTCACCATCAGCTTCAAACATATCCCAAACCCCAGATATATTTCTTAAAGAATTCATCATTAGTTTGCCTCCAATATAAAAATATCTTCAAATTCGACATAAGGAAGCTAATATTGCATTTAAATACCTATCCTTAAATTCTATAAACAAGCCCGCGGCACCAAGCATCACAATTTTATACTTTTTAATGGAACCAATCCTCCTAAAAATATCAACTCGGCCACGGCACCAAACAGCAAGCAATATGGCACTGGAGGAAATTTTTAATAGAAATTCAGTCAACCAATTCAAATTGGTGGCTTAAAATGTGGAATTATAGAAATTTTGACTTTTCAAGTCTCGATAGCCATCACGGTTAAAGTTAAACTTAAAACTAAAAACCCAATTTTGCTTCAACGTGCATCCGGAGCCCCACTTATGCATCTCAACAATTCATCAGTTCCGATGAAAACCATAATTTTTTAAACAAAGAAAATCCGATATTTTCCTACTCACCGAGATGAAACTCATGTCCGCATTGCAGCTTCGCCCTCGATCTGTCCCCGTTGTCAGTTACTGCCTCAAGGCAAATCGAGCATGAAACCGACGACGCAGACAATGAAGGCCCTCCACCACCCCCGTCATCCAAAAGATCGGCATCTTCCGAGCCCATACCTCCGATCAAAACCCTAAATTTGGGGGGCTCGAAAACAATCAAGAAAGAAAGAAAAAAAAATCTCAGCTAAATTCCTCGTACAGACTCGAAAGTCAGTAAATCTTTTTCCTTTGCATTAACAACGAGGGGGTTATCGAGACCAGAAACCCTAAAAGCCCTGAAAATCGAGCGAAGCCTTCGCGGAATCGCAGATAAAATAAGAAGAAAGATCGTTCACAAAAAGAGGGGAAATCTGAAACCCTCTCTAGTCCCCTCTCTCTCTCTAACGTTGTAGTTGGTGTCCTTTAATCGTCGGTGTCGAAATAAAAATCTGGTCGCACGATACAGCCCAGACCAGGCATACGGTAGGGATTGAATGGTGGATGAATGGGGCATTGGAATAAATATACGATTACGTATGAAGATAAGAAGAGATCAGAAGACAACCCCCCTGCTTTGCTCACGTGAACGTGAACACTAATTTTTTTTAGTCGGTTAGGACCGCCAGGTAGACACTAGACAAGCCGGACATCCGAATCCTGTCTTGATGCATTTTCACGTAGCAAACCCCATGGGCCCCACACGTTTATCTTTTTAACATGTCACCGAAATCCCTCAGGCTGCGTTTGTTTTCGATGTAAATATTTATCGATGATGAAATATCAATCAATTTAACTAATAAAGTGTAACTTTGAAAAGTGTGTTTATTAATCTAAATATTTGCATCAATTTTATTAATATTGTATTTATATCAATTATTAATATAAAATTATACTATGAGTGGAGTTTATATCGATTTTCAATGAAAATTTCTACTCCATCCAAATACACAAATACAATGGGGAGTGGAGTTTTACACTAATCATATTTACGTCAAAAACAAATGCAGCCTTAGCCTCCACTTGGTTTATGTGATAAGGAAGGAGTGTTTGGTTTATGAGATATCAATGTCATTAGATAAAATGGGAAAAAGGTGGTTGGGGGGGGGGGAACTTGTTAGTGGGGAAAAATATCTTCATTTTTATATTCTTAAGAATTAATATTTGACCAATGACCCATCAATAAGTTATTATTTATGATGGAGGATGATTTGACTCGACCTTTTAAGACAATGTAACGTGGACCTGATTCAGCATGAGCAATAGCTCAGCATCGCAGCCTGATTGCGACTAAGTAACGAGCTTGTAGGACAGCTCGCTACTTCGTAGCTCGCTATAGGGGGAGCTCGCTACAGCGTAGCTCGAGGTCCCCCGAGCTACCGAAAGGGGATACTCCAAGACTATCCCAACTCGCGAGCTAGGGTAACCAGCTCGCTCCAACACTTAGGTAGAAAGACTGCCTCAAAGGCAATCCCGATGAGGGTCACCTCGAAATACCCCTGGGAGCTCGCTGCGTGACAAGGTAGCTCGCGACTAAGCAATGCGACGCTCTCAAGGAAGCTTCTATCTGACAAGACCGTACCCATCAGACTGTGCCACGTCTCTTGACTGACGGTGCAGTCCCTGTCCATTCGGCAGACTGTACCCACGTCCTTCGACAGATGGTGGTGTGCCTGTCCTCCCGGGACGTGTCACCCATCCAATTGGGTAGTACCCAGCAGCGGTCACCTGCGCAGCCCTAGCAGGTAACGGCTACGACAGAAGCCCAGTGGCGGTTATGCTCGATTTGACAAGAACGCCTATATAAGAGCTCCCTAGTTGAAGGAAGCTCTCTCTCGAACATCTGAGATCTTATTTGAAATTTACTTGCTCTCAAGCTAATATTGAGAACTCAGTGATCCAGCGCAACCTACACTCTTAGCCTCTTTACACTCTTTACTTTCTCCCCCAGCATTCTAACTTAAGCTTCGAAGTATTCCTGCCGGGTAAATCCCCCAGGAATCCTTCATCTTCTTCTTCTCAGGTGCCATTCGTTGCCAGCTAGGAGCCAGTCAGCAACCAGCTAGGAGTGCCCGAATCGTGCCGCATCATTTGGTGCCGTCTGTGGGAAACGCTTCAAGAAGCCTTCCTCTAAGCTTTTACAGTTTCCTTTTCTGAAAACTCAGCATTCATGGCTTCCTCTAGCAACACCGAACGTGGTGCTAGCTAGAACACCTCTGGGGAGCAACCCCAACTTCCTACTATCTGTATTGGGCAGTTCACCGTCCCCCTCTCCGTGGATGGAGTTCTCAGTTTGAACGTGCCTATCACAGTGGCACCCGCGGTCGCTCTACTTCTTTCCACAGTTGGAGCAACCTTTGTCAAACCCTCAATTGTGCCCCTAGCGGCCAACCCGAACCAGTTGGAGGATTTGATGCAGTGCATGCGAGCCATGCAAGCTCAAATGCAACAATTTCAACAATTCCAACTCTATCAACAACAGGTGTTGCACCAGGTTTCCCAATACCAGTATCAACAGCAGTTTCCTTCTTTGCCTCAGGCCCAGCCGTCGCTTCCCTCTCGGCATCCGGCCACGAAGCAGACCAAGCCCTCCCGTCAAAGTGAACGACCTCGTCGGGGAGAGGCCTCCCAGGCCCAGGATTTCGCCAAGAGCCTAGCCTCTTCCCATAGCCAGAAGGAGAGGCCAGCCACTCCCGCCTTGCAACCCGTGGGCAGGTCGGGGGCCTCCCAGCCAACCAAGCTTGTATCACCCCGGCCTTCGCAGTTCGAGCTCCCGCTCGTAGAGAATCCGTTCGAGGTCCTAGCCGTAGGCTATAGGCAGGGCCCTTCGGTTTAGAACCACCACCAGCAGTCCAAGCCCATCGAGCTAGGCGACACTGAAGCATCAAGCACCAATGCCGAGCCAGCAAAACAGCAGCGAAGACGTCGACGAGCTTGCCGAACTGCTACCTGAGTCTCTCCCGAGCTCAAACGAAAAGAGGAGGTATGTTCAGGTGAAGTGAAAGCTACCCCTCGCCGAACTGGTACGCTTTTTACTTGAAAATTTAGATGTTTTTGCATGGTATGCGGCATAAATGCCTAGCATAGACCCTAGCATCACAACTCATAAGCTTAAAATTGATCCTGTAGTTAGGCCCGTTAGACAGAAGAAACGCAACCTAACCCCAGAGCAATGGAGGGCAGTCGACGAGGAGGTCGAGAAGCTCCTTGCAGCCGAATTTATCAGGGAAGTCCACTACCCGAGCTGGGTGGCCAACCCCGTTATGGTGAAAAAGGCTAACGATAAATGGCGCATGTGCGTCGACTACACCGACCTGAACCGAGCTTGCCCAAAGGACTGCTTCCCACTCCCAGAATCGACCGTCTGGTGGACGCGACCTCGGGGCACGAGTTGCTGAGCTTTCTAGACGCTTATTCGAGCTACAATCAGATTATGATGGACCCGGCAGATGAAGAAAATACTGCCTTCATAATCGAGCTTGGCCTGTACTGCTACAAGGTCATGCCCTTTGGGCTAAAAAATGCCGGGATGACCTTTCAAAGACTTGTAAATAAACTGTTTGAGCCATTGATTGGCCAAAAAGTAAAATGTTATGTAGACGACATGGCCGTCAAAACCCAGTCCTCATGTGATTTAATACAAGACTTGAATTTAGTTTTTGAAATCCTGCATAGATTCAATATGAAGCTAAACCCGAATAAGTGTGTCTTTGGTGTCACCTCGGGTAAATTTCTGGGATATATCGTAAACCGGCGCAGCATTGAAGCCAACCCAGACAAAATAAAGGCCATCCTAGATATGAGACCACCCCGAAAAATGAAGGAGGTTCAGAGGCTGAATGACCGAATAGTCGCTCTGAGCCGCTTCATGTCCAAATTGGCAGATCACTGCCTACCTTTTCTTTAAAGCAATTAAAAGCAAAGGGTTTGAATGGACCCAAGATTGTCAACTCGCGTTTGACGAGTTCAAAAAGTACCTCGCTAGCATACCGGTCTTAACCCAGCTCGAAGAGGGCGATGTTTTAGAGTTGTACCTCTCGGCAAGCGATGAAGTGGTCAACTCGGTACTAATAAAAGAAGTAGATCGGGTCCAACAACCTATCTACTATGTTAGTAAAGTATTGCAGGGAGCAGAGACAAGATATCCGGAAATAGAAAAACTGGCCTATGCACTGGTTATTGTGGCCCAAAAGCTCCGTTCGTACTTTCAGGCTCATATTGTTATCATCCTCACTGACAAACCTCAGAGGCAAGTCCTACTCAAACCCGAGGTCTCTGGTTGACTGACGAAGTGGGCCATTGAGCTCAACGAGTACGACCTCCAATACAACTCACAAACTGCTATCAAGGCCCAAGCCTTAGTAGACTTCGTCGCAGAGTGCACTTTCAGCTCCGAAGTCTGTAGGCCGATTGGGTACGGGGCCCCCAGTTCGGGCGAGCCCGGAGCTCCCAGGCCGGTTGAGTCTGAGCACTAGTAGTAGCCAGCGCGACATCTCATCTAGTTAGCCAAGTGCGAACTGGGATGAGGAGCCCTGGGTCCTTCACGTAGATGGCTCCTTGAACCAGTAGGGCAGTGGAGCCAGAATAGTTATGCACGGCCCAAGTGGCACGAAACTGGAGTACGCACTACACTTCGAGTTAGCGGCATCCAACAAAGAAGCAGAGTACGAAGCGTTGATAGCCGAGCTAGCTCTAGCCAAAGAAATGAAAGCCAAGCACATTATCATCTGCAGCGATTCCCAGCTCGTGGTCAATTAGGTCACAAGAGAATACGAAGCTCACAAACCGACTATGATTGCCTACTTAGCCAAAGTAAGAGAGGCTCTGCTCAACTTCTAGTCACACTTCATCAGGCAAGTCCCGAGGTCGGAGAACGCTGAAGCTGACACCCTGTCCCGGTTAGCCAGCACCAGTGATAACACCATGAGAACCGTGTACATAGAGAACCTGCCTCGGCCTAGCATTCTCGGGGGGGTAGAGGAGGTCGCTCCTGTCGTTCAAGCAGAGCCGA